CAGGCTGCTCTGGACAAGAACCGTGATCTTATAGTAGCGAGTGCCTATATGAGACCACCACCGCAAGTAACGCAACCCTTCAGGCGGTTAGTAAACTGCCTTCCAGCCTCGTCGCCGTTCCTGCTGTGCGGGGATTTCAACATGCATCACCCACAGTGGGAGCCATTCTTGGAGACTTCTCCAAGCGAGGTTGCTGCAGAATTTTTAGAACTGTGCACGGATGCGGGACTCACCTTGGTTAACACCCCTGGTGAGATCACGTATGCCCGTGGCACAAGAGAACGATCCTGTATCGATCTGACATGGTCAAAGCATTTGACTGTGTCGCCGCTTAGTGATCATTATATGCTGACATTCACGCTGCATCAGGCATTTAAGGATACCATACCTTCGGCACCTAGGATATTCTACAGTTGGGGGAAGTGCAAGTGGGATTTATTCATCAAGGACTTCGACGCACAACTTCCGGCATATGACTATAAAAAGCAGTCCACCGGCGTTAAAGCTTTCACGAGAGCGCTTATAACTTCGTATCGACGACATTGCCCCCGCGGCATGCATAAGGACGGTCCCAGGCTTTGGGACGACACTCTCATGGAAGCAGAGCGGATTGCTGCCGACAGCAAGGCCCGCTATCTGCAGTCACCGACGCCCGACCGTGAGGCAGAAATGCAACGGACAAGGAGTCAATTCTTCCTCCTACTCCGAGAGCGCTTGCGCAACACGTATCTACGCCGCATCAGCAAGTTAAATCCAGGCGAGCCACTTGCATGGAAATACATTTCCGGACGAAAAAAGGCATCACTTCCATCTCCCACATCAGTTTTATTGGGAGGTGGTCAACACACTTATAAAACAGCAAGGAGAGCAGCGAATGCTCTCAATCGCATCTTTTTTCCATTTCACCCCTCTCACAAGGCAGTTAGGTTTTCCAAAGGCATCAACAGAGTGCATCCTTGAACATTAATGCTTCTTTTCTTTTTGGGCAGCAGAACAACAACGAGTCTATCTCTACATTTACATCAGGGGTTTTGTCACTGCCCTATTGATGCACCTTTTAATCGTACGGAACTGCTTGCTGCGCTACGTAATGCGCCGTATGGCAAGGCCCCCGGACCGTATGAAGTCTACAGTGAGGCGCTGCGACATATTTCGTCAAAGGGCTTTCGATTCCCTCTTCGTTGCATTAACCACAGCTGGACGACCGGTACGATCCCGGCTGAGTGGAGACGCGCTACCATCGTTCCACTCTTAAAACCCGGTAAGTCGCCGGAACTGCTTGAGTCATATCGACCCATCAGCCTTACTTCCATTGTGAGTAAGGTTGCTGAGAAAATGGTACTGAAGAGATTGCTTTGGGTGTGGACGCCGCACCCCCACCAGTATGAATATCGTAGTATGCGTACCACGACGATGCAGCTGGCACACCTGATACACGAAGTGGAGCATAATAGAAATCACTATTTCCAAGTGAGCCTTCCCAAGAAGAGCGGTATTGGCAATCAACTCCACTACAGACCCCATCGGACTCTGCTGGTGTTGGTTGATTTCAGCAAGGCCTTTGACTCCATAGACCATCGAGTCCTCAGTCGCTTGCTGGCTAATATTCCGGGGGTGAATTGTAGAGGGTGGCTTAGAAACTTTCTATGTGGTCGCTACGCGAAGACACGAGTTGGCCACAGACACGGCGATCGGCGTCCCATGCTGCGAGGAGTTCCTCAGGGGTCCGTGCTGGGACCGTATTTGTTCTCCCTTTACGCACACCCACTTCTCAATCTGCTGAACAGCTTTGCGGGCGCCACAGCAGACATGTATGCGGACGACCTCTCTATTATCGTTAAGGGGCAGTCCCGGGAAGACGCCATTCCCACTGCCAACATGGTTCTTCAAAAACTGCATGCGTGGAGTCAGGAAAATGGCCTGGCCATCAACCCGTCAAAGCGTGAAGCTGCTTGGTTCACACTCTCCATGCACACGGAGTCAGATTGTGATCGTGAAGGAAGGTGGCCCCTGGTAGTGGCTGGATGTCAAATCCCAGTCATGACCATGGGGGCATCGCGAACTACGAAGCTTCTCGGCATGGATCTCGATCCGCGACTGACGCTAAATGTGGCGGCCTCCAAGCAATGCGCTGCCACTTCGCAACGGATATCGCAGCTACGCCGCATAGCGCACAAAGAGGCGGGACCATCTCCACATGACCTACGCACGTCCGTCATTGGATACGGTGCTTCCAAATTACGCTATGGCAGCGAGCTCATATGGGCAGCAGCGACGGATTCAGCGAAGAATGAGATGCAGAAGACGTACGCAACTCTAGCACGCATTTTCAGCGGAGTTCCGAGCACTGTTGATCCGGAATCCGCACTGCTGGAGGCTAATATGCCGCCGCTCCACGTCCTTTGCCTGCGCGCACGGCTCTCCATATTTGAGAACACACGCGCATTTCAGATGGACTGGATGCGGAGACCACCGCCCGAGCCGCCGCCTCGCGCTGGTTTCCGCATCTCGCCATTATCTCGGGACGAGCTATATGCCTTCGTAGACGCATACACAAAGGACTATGGCATCACCGAGAGCTCACCACGCGAAGAGCGGTTCTTTCGCAGCTCCATTCCTCCCTGGTTTGCGGTCTCCGCTCACCGGGTCACCATCGGTGTGGAACTTCCGATAGACCTCTCAATAACTGACGAGGAAGAGCTGATAAGGGAAAAGCGCAGGGTCAGCGAAGAGGCTCTGGCGCTGCACAGCCATCGTCGTGGATACTTGCGACCGATGGCGGTGTCGACGTTCCCAAGTCAGCCGGGGTTGGAATACTGCTTTCATCCCTCAATTCATCGGAGATAATAGAAAAGGCCAGCATAAACTGCGGTGCAAATCCATGCAGCTACAGGACGGAATCCCGTGCGCTGCTTCTAGCCCTAGAGAAGCTGATGATTCCTCGTATCCGCCACAGGCGTAAAACCCTGCTTGTGGTTACGGACAGTCATTCTCCTCTAGCGGCTCTAAACAAGGGCCCGCTCAGTCAGACAGACTGGACGGAGGATCAGATCTGGCAGCGTCTCTTGACACTGACGTGTGCTGGCTGGTCCGTGCACCTGCAGGTTTGTTACGGACATTGTGGAGCACATGCTAACGAGCTTGCAGATCAGTATGCGACGCAGGCTATGGCAACCGGACAATACACGGAGCAAGGAATCGCACCTTTATGGCATACGGATCTGCTGACATGTTTTACTGCCCAGCTCACCAACAATTGGCGTAGTACCATTCGTCAAGACACTCACCGCTACTTGCTTTGCGGCACAAGGCCATCCGATCTCGGCGGTAAGGACCTAATCACTCAGGAAGTTCTTCACCGTCAGGAACTGGTTCACCTCGCAAGGGCAAGGTGCGGGGAATCTGAGCTCTGGGGCCGACTATACTGGGCCGTGAGAGATTGCACGAACCAATGCCGATTCTGCAACATCTCACCGGAACAGTCTGCATATATGCGCTCTAACACGATCCAACTGCACCGGGGACGGACACTGTTCCCCCGTCGGCGAGGGAGGAAGACGTCTCTCCAGTAAGGAGACGGACCGTCACACGCCATCGGAAGGAGAAATGTCCGCACTGTGATTCTACATTGACGGGATTCTCGGGTCTCGTCAGTCACTGTCTGTCATTTCATCCGGAACATCCTCCACCGCTTCCCGAGCTCAAATGTGATTTCTGTGACATGGTTTTCCCCACACGGAGAAGCACCGCACAGCACAGAAACCGCTGCGCACACAACCCAGACGCCACACGGCATCGAAACAGCAGTGCCAGGAGGCGATCTCTGCTGCCGCAGGATCAGCCAGCCTCCACAAGCACGCCGATTGGCCCGCAGGAAACCTTGCACCATCTGCTTCTAGAATGTCCAGGCACCTTGGCTGTGCGCCGACGGCTGGGCATTGAACAGGACCTTCGCCTCGGAAAGTTCTCTCAATGGCAGTTGCTTCATAGCAGGAAACTTTTGTCATTGCTCGACCACCTCTTCGGCACTCAGATGGCATTGTATAGCTAGACGCGCTGGTAAGAGTAGGAAAAAAATATAATGACCTCATGACGTCCAATACCACCGATGTGTACGGGCGATGGGACCGTATCCATGGTCCTTGAGCACACGCCCCGCCACTAAGGAGCCCACAAACAGCGGTGCGTGCAGCAGCGCCACACAGACCACATCTTCTTTAAACAAAAAATTAAAGAGAGTAGAGATGTCTAGTTCGAAGGTGACATGTCCTTGCCGACGGTGAGCAGTGGCGAACGTATCACCTCGTGTGTGGACACACCACTGCTGCTTCTGCTTTTGGGACTGTGTGTGGTTGTGGCAGTGTTCTGAGCCACGGAGTGTGGCGTTGCGACTTCTCACGGAGAATATGCGCCGCGTTCCCTGCGGTCTTTCTTTTTTTGATGTTCTTTTTAATGTTGTTTACATGGAACAATGGGAGTACCTTTTTCTTTTGTTTTACTTAATGGTCAGTTGCTGCGCACCGTCATGAGCGAATTGTTTTCCCTCTTGATTGCTTCTGTTGCCTAAACGCGGTACAGGCCCCACGGCTGTGCGCTCCACGGAGGACACAAAAGGAGGAGTGGAGAGACAGGCCACATGCCGCATGAAATGTGTGGGATGCTGTGTGGGCTTGTGGAACAGTAATGTTTTTTCCTTGTGCAGGCACTGTACGCATGTACATATAAACACAGTCCTGCTTTGCCGCATGGCGTATGAAATGATGATCCTGCTGAAGTGTATTTTTTTTGAGGAGGAGACTCCTGTTGGGCACTCAACTACTTTTTTTGTTTTGGTATCGCTTTTTTACTTCTGGTGTGCAGGTCAGTGTGCGTTCCTCTGCAGGGCTGCTGCCGTTGTTTACGGTGCGTATTTCTTTGTGACTTGTCTTTGCCTTTTGCTTTCACTCTGCGTTGACGTGTTGTTGGTTTGTGCTGAAGGCTGCACGCAAGTGACAGGAGTGATGGCGATGATGATGACTGGCCGTGTGCTGCTGGTGTGTGCCCTCTGCGTGCTGTGGTGCGGTGCCGGCGGGGTTTATGCGAGGAACCCTGACAGCAATTCACTGGGCGGCCACATGGCGTCGAGAGGGTTTGGAAGGAATACGTCGTTTTTGTCAAACGGATCTATTAAAAACTTATCCACACCGCTTTTGCTGTCAGCATCGTTTATCTCTGCTATGCAAGCCGAAGCTCGTGAAGAAGTTTCTTCTCCAGGAGTTACTAATTTACCTTTAAGTGGAGCCACGGTTCTTAGTCCTGCTTTTTCCGGTCTTGGTGCTTCCAGTCCCCGTCCCACTGTTCCCGGTCATGGTACCCCTATTCCTGGTGCTGCTTTTCCCGGTACTTCTGGCGCTGGTCCTATTCCTGATGTTGCTGTTCCCAGTCCAGGTCCTTCTGTTCTTCCCGGTCATGTTCCTGCTATTACTGGTCCTACCAGTCATGGTCCCGGTGCTGCTGCTTTTTCCGGTCTTGGTGCTGCTATTCCTGGTGCTGCTGATCCCGGTGCTGCCATTCCTGGTGCTATTCCTGGCCCTGGTTCTGTTCGTGGTGCTGCTGTTCATGGTCATGTTCCTGCTATTACTGGTCGTACCGGTGCTGGTCCCGGTCATGCTGCTGGTCCTGCTCCTGGCCCTGGTTCTGTTCGTGGTCCTGGTGCTATTCCTGGTGCTGCTGCTTTTTCCGGTCTTGGTGCTGCTGGTCCTGGTGCTGCTGGTCCTGGTCCTCTTCGTGATCCTGCTTTTCCCGGTCCTGATGCTAATATTCCTGTTTCTGTTCTTCCCGGTCATGGTACTCCTATTACTGGTGCTGCTGGTCCCGGTGCTGCTGCTTTTTCCGGTCCTGGTGCTGCCATTCCTGGTGCTATTCCTGGCCCTGGTTCTGTTCGTGGTCCTGCTCTTTCCGGTCTTGTTCCTGCTGTTCCCGGTGCTGGCCATTCGGTTGGTGGTGGAAGTGAACTTCCGGACTCTCGCTCTGTCGTTACTTCCTCAAGTCAAGGTGGTAATGGAAAAATAGCCCCGGTCAGTGTTTCATCCGATGAGCAGATTGCATCCCCAGAGGAAGTTTTGGCACAAAAAGAAACAGGGAGTCAGGGCACCTCTTCGCCCGAAGGACAGCCAACGGTGTCATCCAACACTGAAAAGCAAAGAAACAATTCTGCCTCAGCAGGGGGTCACAGTCTTGGCCACGACGCCGCGGGAGACGAACTCCAAGACTCTTTGGAAGAACAACAGAAAAATGACCATTCACAAACGAACGAGACAAAAAAATCACCAGGGGACCAAAATACAGAATCCCAAAGCAGTGGAGGAGCACTCTCGGAAGTATCCAATACAACAACGCATGGGATAAAAACTCAAGAGCCAAAGACAAATTCAGTAAATGAGAAGAACTACAGTCAAAACACGGATGCATCCCACACCACCTCCCCTCTTTTGCTTCTTCTTGTTGTTGCGTGTGCTGCTGCAGCTGCGGTGGTGGCCGCGTGAGAGAGAGTGAGGGAGAGAGAGCCATGCACCGCCCGCACACACACTCGTCCTTCTCTCTCTGTGTGTGTGTCCCCTTGCATGGACTCTCGCCCTCACCTCACCCCACGAGGCACACACAATAATGTGCCCATTGTATATATGCATGCACACCCATGCAGGCCCGTTGGTGCTCTCTTTTGCACGACACGCACCGCTGCCGTCCTGCCTGGCTGCATGGGCGGAGCACCGTAACTGTTTCTGTTTTGTTGTTCTCTTACGATTGTTTTAAGTGTTTTTAATTTTTCTTTGCTGTTTGCTTTAAAATATTTTAAATGTTTTTTCGTTTTTTCTGGTTGTGTGATTTTTCTCTTCATTTCTTTTTTCTTTTGTTTTTTGTGTTTGTTTTTACTTTTTTTTTTACCTCTCACTTCCCCATCTCTTCTTTTTGCTTTTGGGGCAATCACTATGAACGTTTTTCTTTTCTACTCTTCCCTCTTTAATTGTTTGTTGCTGCACTCTTCCTGTGAGGGTGCCGTGTGTTCCCGCCCAACTGCTCCACTCGCACACCCACCGACACGCTCATGACGACGGCCCTGTGCGCCTCGCCTGCTGCACGCATGAGGAGGGCCGCGACGAACGGCGCGCTGGGGGAGCCGTGACGTGTGGGCGTGCGACGAGGGCCTGTGGGGCGGAGCACACATTTCTTCCCTCTTGTTTTGTTTTCTTTGCGGCCAGGGCGGGCAGACACCCGCAGCGCCACACACACAGCCACACCCTGCCGCCGTGTTTTTCTTCAAGGATTTGTTTTGCTTTGCGTGTTTATTTCACGCGGTGGCGCACCCTTCGGTGTCGGCCTCGTGAGCATTTCTCTCCCCTCCGATGATTTCTTTTTTTTTGCTGCGCTCACTCTCCCGATGGAGTGACGCGACTGCCGTCATGTCTGCGTGCTTCTCTCAGTCCCCACACACACGAGTGACTGTGCTCCGCGGGCCGCACTCACGCGCCGATGAGAGGGCTGAGGGGAGCAGCAACACGCGGATGACCCCATGAAATATAAACGATGTGCGGACACACGGAGGGTCGGACGGTTGAAGCACACGCAACCATCTTTTTAATTTTCTTTTGCGGGCAAAATACATACAGACAGTTTGGTGTGGCCACACGGCAGCCAGGCGATTTTTTTCTTATTTTAAATTTGTGTGGAACAGTAATGGACGATTTCTTTTCATTTATAATTATTTTGTGTGGTGGGGTTTACATAAGACGAAGGGGACGTTTTTTGTTTTTAATAAATCTTGTGTGAATTGCCGCTGCTTGGGCTGCAGTGCAGTCATGAGTTTGAGCGGTCTTCTTGTTGTTGTTTCCGTTATGCGTCCCCGCTGTACATTTTTGTGCGTCCCTCCACATACTCTGCTCCCTCTTTTCCACTTCTTTGCTTTGTTTTTCTGCAGGCACACACAACCACACACACAAGATGCACATTGCAGTGGATTTGAATGCACCTTTTGTAGTGCATGCTGGCGGTTGCGTGTGGCGGCTGTTGTCTTCTTCCGTGGCCATGAGGAGGGAGAGAGGGAGCGCAGCCCGAGTCTATTTTCCTGTGGGTGTGATGCACCGCGTGTGACTGCGCTGAGTTGGGCTCCGTGTCCCATTGATGGCGGGATGGCAGGAAATTTTGTGCCGCGTGATGGATGGATGAGGGTTTGCTTGCTCCGTGTGCGTTGTGTGGTGGCCGCGGGTTTTGCCATTTCCCTGGGGCTGCGGGAATGAGCTGGGGGAGATGGTGGTGGATATCTTCTCCTCCTGCATGGTGGCTGCTGGCGTTGTGTGCCCTCCTTGCGTGGATGCCGTCTCGTGGTGTGTGGACTGTGCGGCTGGGCCTGCTGCCCTCTCCTCATGTTGTCTGCGCTCTCTCTGTATCCGCTGTGCTCCGTCCCTTTCCCTCTCGTTCCATTCCTTTCCTTCCGTCTCACCGATCAGCTGACTGACACCAGCGACTCCACTACGGGCGATGATGACTGCGATGGTGACGGTGCGCGCCGTGTTGGTCCTTGCGCTCTTGTGCTGCTGCTGCTCGTCCGTGTGGGTGTGACGGCGACAGGAGACGATAATAACGATAACAGCATTCCTCCCAGCCCTGAGCTAGGGAAACCGGATCCTACAAAAACATGCCTGGTGCATTACAGCCATATGGTGGGGAGACCGGTGTGCCACAGACAGAGAGTGGGAGAGACAGCGAGGAGGGTTTGAGAAGTCCAGGACCTTCGTTGCCAAAGGAAGCAGGCACAGCCATCACTGGACAGACACGAGTTCCGACAGAGTCACTGAGTTCGGCTAGCGATAATCCAGAGCCACCAGGCTTGGCAACTCAGTCTCCACACACACACACAAGGTGCGACCGGTATGTCAGATGCACAAAATAAAAGGAGCAGTAAAATACACGAGGCGATGAGAATCATAAGGCACGGACATCAAATCAGAGGATCAAAATGCCAAATACGATAACAACCACTACAACAGAGGCACCGAGTAATACGGCCAGGAATACAGAGGCGCCAACCAATATGACGACCAACGCACCGTCACGTCTTCGCGAAATCGACGGCAGCCTCAGCAGCTCTGCGTGGGTGTGTGCCCCGCTGCTGCTCGCCGTATCCGCGCTGTTGTATACCACTGTGAACTAAAAGGGGGCCTGGGCTGTGCGTGCCAGCACTCAATCACGGGTATTTGTGCGCTTCTACTGTGGTCCGAAGTATAAAGTGAGAGTAATTATGGTGATTCTGTTTTGCCTTACTTGTTTGCTGCATGCCGTGTGCTTCTCTTTACTTCCTACATCCGCTAAATCGAACGCGTTCCACACAAACTTGTATGCACGCCACGCATACAACTGTTTGCGTGGACCCACTGTTGGTGATGGATGCATGCACACTGGAGCCATTTAAGTGCAGGGTTCTGTTTTTGTGTTTTTACATTTTGTAGTTTCTTGCTGCGTGTTTACTTTTGCTTTGATTTTCCTTGCTGTGCCTTTTTTAATTATATTTTTGCATGGCGTTGTGCGCTTTTTGCACTTTATTGTTTGAATATTTCTTACGAAATGCGTGCTGCTGCTGCTGGTGTTTTTTACTGTTCTTTTTCTTGTGTGCGTCCCTGCATTTATTCTTGCTTTGCGCTGACGTGTTGTTATTTTGTGCTGAAGGCTGCACGCAAGTGACAGGAGTGATGGCGACGATGATGACTGGCCGTGTGCTGCTGGTGTGTGCCCTCTGCGTGCTGTGGTGCAGTGCGGTGTTTGGACACGCGATGGAGGATTACTGCGGTGAGGGTGGAGGGAACGGTTTGAGGCACACGAGTAATGGTGGCGATGACGGCGTGTCTCTAAAGGCGGACTGCGGGTTGTTATCCACTCGAATGGCATCAATAAAGGCGGTTGAGGCTGCGGAAGGTGAACAAGAAATGAATGTTACAGCCCCACTGGAGAATTTGGAGGATAACAAATTGGGAAATAATACGAAGGGCAGTGGGGTGGCTGGTTTAGAAGGAAATGACGGTGTCGCAGTTCAGCCACCAACAAAAAAACCGCTGAATCTCGGACGATCAGGTGCAGGGGAACAGGAGGGGATGTCGAGACCGGTAGATGCAAAGGATGGAAAACGTACTAGCCATACACACAATCAAAGTGTACGTGATCCCGAAGAAATAAAAACTGTTGAATCCTCTTCTTCTTCTGGCAGCCCTGGCACTGAGGGCATTAAAATACACAACTTGGAGAATACTTCCGAGAGAAATGAGTCCTACAAAGAGACACCGACGGAAGAAAACAATCTCTTCAGTAAATATGACTGTACTGAATTGGTGCTGAAAGAAGAACCAGAAAAAACAGCAGACAAAAAAAATGCAAGTCATGAGGCACCAACAGAAACACATGGAAGTCCAGCCAACGACACGGAAATACATACGGCAACACCACCGTCACCACCGGCAACAATGAATGAACAGTCCAGCAATGAGGATTTACCACCCGTGCAACCGCTACAACGCGTCCAAGACGACAATGCAGAATCCAGGCCACCATCACCCACGGCAAACGGTGG